CTAAAAAAAAAAAAAAAAAAAAAGGGACCAATTGCTACCCAGCACTTTTTTTTTTTTTTTTTTAAGACGAAGTCTCTCCCTGTCCAGGCTGAAGTGCACTGGCACAATCTTGGCTCACTGCAACCTCCACCTCCCAGGTGTAAGCATTTCTGCCACCTCAGCCTCCCGAGTAGCTGGGATCACAGGCATGTACCACCATGCAGGCTAATTTTTGTATTTTTAGTAGAGACGGGGTTTTACCATGTTCGTCAGGCTGGTCTCGAACTCCTGATGTCGGGTGATCCACCCACTTCTGCCTCCATCTCCGAAAGTGTTGGGATTACAGGCATGAGCCACCACACCCGGTCTGCTATCCAGCACTTCTATCAGGCCTTCAAATGTTAGAACCAATGCTGTCCAATCACAATTAAATATTTAATCAATTTTGGCCAGGTGTGGTGGCTCATGCCTGTAATCCCAGCACTTTGGGAAGACAAAGCAGGTGGATTATTTGAGGTCAGGAGTTCAAGGCCAGCCTGGCCAACATGGTGAAACCCCATCTCTACTAAAAGTACAACAATTATCTGGGTGTGGTGGCATACACCTGTAATCCCAGCAACTCAGGAGGCTGAGGCAAGAGAATCACTTGAACCCAGGAGGCGGATGTTGCAGCCTGGGCGACAGAGTAAGACTCTGTATAAAAAAAAAAATTTAGGCCGGGCATGGTGGCTCACACCTATAATCCCAGCACTTTGGGAGGCTGAGGTGGGTGGATCACCTGAGGTCAGGAGTTCACAACCAGCCTGGCCAACATGGAGAAACCTCATCTCTACTAAAAATTTAAAAATTATCTGGGTGTGGTGGTGCACACCTGTAATCCCAGCTATTCAGGAGGCTGAGGCAGGCGAATCCCTTGAACCCAGGAGGCAGAGGTTGCAGTAAGCCGAGATTGTGTCACTGTACTCCAGCCTCGGTGACAGAATGAGTCTCAAAAAAAAAAAAAAAAAAAAAAATCAATTTTGAATACTGAATATTCAATCAAGGACAAAAGAGTATCCACTGTTTAATGGACATATTCATAGTACATGACAGAAGACTTACCTTTCTACTCTAACACTTATAAAGTGCAGCTCTAGGCTGTTCTTAAATTTGAATGTGCATCAGAATCGCCTGGATGCTTGGTCGAGCACAGACTACGTACCTGTTAACCAGCCCCAGTGTTTCTAATACAGTAGCTCTGTTGTGGGAACTAAGAATCTGCATTTCTGACAAGTTCCCAGTTACACTGATGCTGCTAGTCCAGGGATGACACTGTGAGACCTATTGATCTAGAACTTAAAAGTTTAAAAGCATAAGTGATATTGTCTTAAAAAAAAAAAAAAAAAAAGGTGAAATGTTGGCCATGTGCAGTGGCTGATGCCTGTAATCCCAACACTTTGTGAGAAAGGTGGAAGATCGCTTGAGCCCAGGAGTTTAAGACCAGCCTGGAAAATACAGTGAGACCCCTGTCTCTACAAAAATACTTTAAGAAAAAATTAGCCAGTGTAGTGAAGTGTGCCTATTGTTTCGGCTACTGAGGAGGCTGAGGCAGATGGATCACTTGAAGCTGCAATGAGTTGTGTTTAATTCATCACACTCCAGCCTAGGTGAAAGAGCAAGACTATCTCAAAAAACAACAACAAAAAAAAAAACAAGAAAAGTAAAACGTTACCCAATAATTGAAAATTTCTGTATCTCTAACATACTGTTTCAAATAATACTGAAACTTCCATTCTAATGTAAATTCATGTATACAGGAGTGATCTTTGTTTTGAAATTTTATAAAAAAGAAAAATAGCATTAGTGTCAACTAGTATTGTATTTCTCCCCAAAACACAATGGTGAACATAAAATTAGCCTTTTTTTTTTTTTTTTTTTTTTTTTTGAGATGGAGTCATGCCCTGTCGCCCTTGCTGGAGTGCAATGGCACAATCTCAGTTTACTGCAGCCTCTGCCTCCTGGGTTCAAGTGATTCTCCTGCCTCAGCCTCCCAAGTAGCTGAGATTACAGGTGTACACCACCAGGCCCAGATAGTTTTTTCTACCTTTAATAGAGACAGGGTTTCACCATGTTGGCCAGGCTGGTATCGAACTCCTGACCCTTGTGATCTGCCCACCTTGGCTCCGAAAGCGCTGGGATTACAGGTGTGAGCCACCGCACCCAGCCTAAAATTTGACTTTTTAGTAATGATGCTCTATTTAATTTGTAGTCTTTCAAACTGAAGGATAAACTGGGCACAGTGGCTCACACCTATAATCCTAGCACTTCAGGAGGCCAAGGCAGGCAGATCACTTGAGGCCAGGAGTTCAAGACTAGCCCGGCCAACATGGCAAAATTCTGTCTCTACTGAAAATACAAAAATTAGCCAGGCATGGTGCTGCATGCCTGTAATCCCAGCTACTTGGGAGGCTGAGGCACAAGAATCGCTTGAACTCAGAAGGCAGAGGTTGCAGTGAACCAAGATGACATCACTGCACTCCAACTTGGGTGACAGAGCGAGACACTGTCTTTAAAAAAAAAAAATACCTAACAAATTGCAGGATACATGCATAATTTGGGATCTGTCAGTTTTAGGCATGTTACCAGAAATGATGAAAACCCAAAGGTCAAGAGGAATACAGGCACAGAAATTTTGTTTTATTTCAGGTTCAGGGGTACATGTGCAGTTTCGTTATACAGGTAAATTGCATGTTACGGGGGTTTGGTGTACAGATTTCATCATCCCCATAATAAGTACAGTACTCAAAAAGTCGTTTTTCCATCCTCACCCTCCACCTACTCTCCACTCTTAAGTGGGCCCCGGTGTTTGCTGCTCCCTTCTGTGTCCATATGTACTCGATGTTTAGCACCCACTTATAAGTGAGAACATGCAGTGTTTGGTTTTCTGTTCCTGTGCTAATTCTCCCATAATAGTCTCCAGCTCCATCCATGTTGCTGCAAAAGACATGATCTTGGCTAGGCACGATAACCTCACACCTGTAATCCCAGCACTTTGGGAGGCTGAGGGAGGCGAATCACTTGAGGCCAGGAATTCAAGACCAGCCTTGCCAACATGGCAAAACTCCATCTCTACTATAAATATAAAAATTAGCCAGGCATAGTGGCACGAGCCTATAGTCCCAACTACCTAGGAGACTTAGACATGAGAATCACTTGAACCTGGGAGGTGGAGGTTGTAGTGAGCAGAGATAACACCACCGCACTCCAGTCTGTGAGAGACTGAGACTCTGTCTCAAAATAAGAAAAAATAAAATAAAAAATAAAAGGACACCATCTTGTTCTTTTTTATGGCTATATAGTACTCCATGGTATACATACCACATGTTCTTTATCCAGTCTTTCATTGATGGGCATTTAGTTGATCCCTTATCTTTATTATTGTGAATATTGCTGTGATAAACATACTTACGCATGTATCTTTACAGTAGGATGATTTATATTCCTTTGGGTATGTACCCAATAATGGGATTGCTGGGTCAAATGGTAATTCTAAGTTTTTTCAGAAATCGCCAAACTGCTTTCCACAATGGCTGAAGTAATTTATATTCACACCAGCAGTATGTAACTGTTCCCTTTTCTCTGCAACCTCACCAGCATCTGTTATTTCTTGAATTTTTAATAATAGCCATTCTGTCTGGTATGAGATGGTATCTCATTGTGGTTTTGATTCGAATTTCTCTGATTATTGGCATCAGATGAGCATATTTTTCGTATATTTATTGGCCACTTGTATGTCTCCTTTTGAAAAGTGGCTGTTTGCGTCCTTTGCTCACCTTTTAATGGGGTTGTTTTTTGCTTGTAAATTTTTGCTTGTAAATCTATCTCCTCCTAGATTCTAGACATTAGACCTCTGCCAAAGCATAGTTTGCAAATATTTTCTTCTATTCTACAGGTTGGCTGTTTACTCCGTTAACACTTTATTTTACTGTGCAGAAGCTCTTTAGTTTAATTAAGTCCGATTTGTCAATTTTTTTTTTTTTGGCTGCAATTGCTTTTGGCATCTGTGTCATTAAATGTTTGCCAGGGTCTATGTCCAGAATGATATTTCCTAGGTTATCTTCCAGGTTTTTTATAAGTTTTACATTTAGATCTTTAATCCATCTTCAGTTGATTTTTGTAAAGGATGTAAGGAAGGGGTCTAGTCTCAATCTTCTGCACGTAGCTAGCCAGTTATCATAGCATCATTTATTGCATTTATTGAGCAGGGAGTCCTTTCCCCATTGCTTATTTTGTTGAGTCTGTTGAAGATTAGATGGTTGCAGGTGTGCAGCATTATTTCTGGGCTCTCTATACGGCTCAATTGGTCTACATGCTATTTTTGTACCAGAACCATGCTGTTTTGGTTACTGTAGCCCTGTAGTATAGTTTGAAGTTGGGTAATGTGATGTCTCCAGCTTTGCTCTTTTTGTTTCAGACTGCCTTGGCTATTCAGGCTCTTTTTGGTTCCACAGAGATTTTTAAATAGTTTTTTTCTAATTCTGTGAAGAATGTCATTGGTAGTTTGATAGGAATAGCACTGAATCCATAAGTTGCTTTGGGAAGTACGGCCATCTTACCAAT